AAGTATACATATGTGAGTTTATTTCTGTCAATTCACAAGTACTATGAACGCAACAAGAAAGCAGTATTGTTTTTAAAATATATGCACATTATTTGATATAATGATTGATAATTATGCTGAAATGGCTCGGTTTCCACCTCGAATAGTAGGTGGATTTTGTCTGTTCAGTCTAAGCATGCGACAGTTTCGATTAACCGAAACCGATCATAACCGATATAACAAAAACGCTTTTTTATTTCTATATTTTCTTGAAAATACATTTGAAACAGTATGAAGGAAAAATCTGGGAAGGTTTATGGTAGAGAAGAAAGGGATCACATCGTACATGCTGCACGAAAATTATGAAAAAGAAGTTGACGTTAGTGTTCGTTGCGAAAGGGCGTGGTCGCCTGCGTCTATCGTTTTTTTCCCAAAAAGAGATTAGATGCATTATTACTTTGGAAAAGTCAATAAAATGTAACTGAAATTATCAGAGGATTGCAATAGTAGTTAAAAAAGCGGAATTCACGCCAATATGAATCCTGTCGCTTACTTTCTCGTGGGTGAAATTATTTGAAACAGTTTCTAAGGGACTTCTGCTGTTAAGCTTTGTGGAAGGATTATGAGAGTTCCCACCGTGTTGAGTAGCGCTTAGGACATGTACAGTACTGTGGTAGCTTACTTGGACGCCCGGGTGAATCTTCAATTAAAGAAAAAAGTTAAAAAAACGAAAAAAAAGGATAAGGAACGCTTGAAGGAAAAATGGAAAAAATAATGGAAGTTGCTGCACAGAGACTCATGCAAAGAAAAAACGACTCATTCGCCAGTGTACAAATGTACTGCTGTATGCTCAGTTTGTCTCTCGTGCTCACGGTCGTATAAGTCTGTGAACACTTTTTACGTTTAAACATATCTGCTTTCACGCAGAAAAAGGACATATTTAGGCATATAAACTGACAGTTGCATAGTTTTCCAAAGATTATAGTAAAATCAAAGTAAACTACGTATTCGAAGACGGAAACAATGAAGAGGTGGAAGACTTTAAAGAAATTCAGCATAGCTTTTTGCTTCTAAATATATAAACAAATATACTTAAGGGCGTAAGTGGTGCAGTTATCTTACGATAGGTTTACTGATCAAAGTAATGCTTTTTAATGTTCGAAAGTACGTTTTCTCTTTTCTAAATTTAGCCGCTACATAGAGCAGTGATGCCGCAGAGTCTGATGGTTCTTTTAGTTTAACTCGTGGAAACGTAACTCGCTTTTAAGATAACGTATTCACTTTACCCCAAGCAAATATCACCTATGGGAAAAATCCAGATACATTTCGTCTGCAATCAGGCGATACACGACTAGTTGCCATCTAGATTCCTAGTTGGGAATGGGACTCTTAACTAGATGCATCTGCAGGTGCATCTAGTAATAGTTAAATCGATCGCTTATCGGGCGATAAATCGATAGTTGCAGTTAGAAAAAATCTATTAATCGCTCAATTACCAGATTTTCATTGTCGTTACACAGTAGTTGTGATCGAGTAAAGATGTAGTAATCTAGATGATTCGAGCGATACTAGATTTTTGTTGACGCTTGGGTAGCTTGACAAAGTAAAATTTTAAAAACTTGCCTCGTTGTTGTTGTCCGCCCCATATCTTAACAGAACAGTTTAAACGCAACCCAAGATCTTACAGTTCCTGCTGTCAGTGAAATACTAATGTTCTATTCTGATCCTTATTCTAACGACTTCTCCAAAACACTGTTAGATGGAGCCTTGAAACTCATATCGTAATTCTTTCTTGACCTGATATTCCCTGAAAGTTTGGACCAGATCAGATTATTTTGATCGAAAATAGGATTCTGATGAAGACCGGTATTAACTGAGAATTTGAGTGCTATGCGGAAAACAGGTGAAATCGAATAGAAAAAGAGCCGTTCTTCGATAAAGTGTATCTTTTTCAAGAAACATTTGAAAAAAGTTGATAAATAAACTCAGAAAATTTCGAAATCTTAACAATACCGATACTATCGAAGAAAAGTTGAGACCTTAATATCACAAAGGACTTTCATTTCGATCTAATTCAAATCTTAAAAACGGCTATTTTTCATTGAATTGTTTTCTAGCGACATAAAGGCCTAAGTTTACGACATCCAAGCGTCGCATTCATCGAAGATCAACATACAATTTGGCTCCATCAACGACAGCGGCGCATGCAAGCTGAAAATGCTGCTACTCTGCTACAACAGCAGCAGCTACCAGAATTTCTACCGTTAAAGCACGAAGAATATTTAAATACGAATGTCGATAACGATTTGCTATCGGAATCGGCACAACGAACTGCAGCTGCTACCGCAAATAGCGTGACAAAGTAAGACTATTGCTGATCATGCTTTATCCACATTTTTGCCTTTTCTTTCAGGGCCTTTGTGATCACATGGAAATGGGCTTTTGCTGGCACAATCACTTTAATCATAGTGCTTGCTACTACAATGCTCATTGTACCCTCCTTTCTATTTACATTCAGAAACAATAACGGTAAAGAGGACAGTACATCGAGACTGTGCTCTGAACTTTGCCCTTTACGTTTTTAGTGGAGTGCTCTTGTTGGAACGGTGGCACTTGTCACATGAATAATATATGTGTTTGCCCAGTAGGATTCAGTGGCAATATCTGTCAACAACGTAAGCATAAATTTGAAATATACTACAAAAATGTCAAAGCGTACCACTGTTTAATCGCGGAAAGATGTGTCGATCGTTTTCCGTTTGTACAACTTTAAACTCTGCGATTTAAAGGAATTCAAGGTAGACTAAAAGTTCCATCAAACGAGTAATACGTACAGGATAGGTACATGTCACATTCAGCAGCCGAAACTTTCTATTCATTGCGGGTCTTGTGATCCAAGCGAAACAAGAAAAACTGAAATGCAGACATTTTTCGAGAAAATCTTTGCAGAAAAATTACAAAAATTTTGGAAACTTAAGAAAAGTTACTAGCATAACTGAAAAATATGAAATTCTGATCATCGACAATGTATTTTACATCCTCTGCAAAAGCTCTTCCTTCACTTATTTTTAAAAATATTTAGCTATCTGTAATACGACATGCAACAACGGTTACTGTTCGGCTCCACAAGTATGTTCATGTTGGACAGGATGGAATGGAACATACTGCGATAAACGTTAGTCATCTAACGTGGTTTTTTATAAGATCTTACATGTTTTTCTCATATTTACTGTAGCTATATGTAGCCCTCAATGTATCTATGGGAATTGTACACTACCGGCTACATGCAGGTTTGATTTTACTCCAACACATCCTGTAAATTCTCGACTTTTCCTTTGTTTAGTTGTTATACGGGCTGGTCAGATTACAAGTGTAGCACACGTTCGTTGCTACGGAACAAAATGATCTAATAATCTTTTATTTTTGTGTCATTTCAGCTATTTGTACACCGTCCTGTATTTATGGGAATTGCACTCTACCTAATAATTGTGTTTGTTCTACGGGATGGTCAGGGACAATTTGCTCCTCACGTATGTATTACTGTTTAAGTTTTGATCTTAAAAATAAATGGTTCTCTTTTCAGCTGTATGTTCACCAAGCTGGTATGTTCCATGAGTGATCTCTTTTTGTGTAACAGTGAAACCTCTCTTTTTCTAATGAAGTGTCAACGGAGTATGTACTAATCCGAATCAATGTACATGTACTGCTGGGTGGAATGGTACTCTTTGTCAATATCCCATATGTTCTCCGGCCTGCCAAAACAATGGAACGTGCACGAATCCAAATACTTGTAACTGTGCTGCTCAGTGGAACGGCACTATCTGTCAAAATCGTGAGTTTGCTTTTCCCTCCTGAAAAGACTGTTCTACAAATTGGTTTTTAGCTATATGTCCAAGTCCATGCCAGCATGGGGGTAATTGTACAGCGCCTTCGAATTGCACATGCACATCTCAGTATACGGGACTTACATGTAACATTCGTAAGCAGATTAAGCAATCAGATTCTCTTTTGGCTCAGCACCTATATGACTTTTCTTTTAGCAATTTGCCAGCTACCTTGTTTGAATGGCGCAAATTGCTCAGCCCCTAATACATGCAATTGTACAACTGGTTATTCTGGAGTTCAATGTCAAACACGTGAGATTAAGTCGGAGTTGAATAAATCTTATCACAATACAATAACTTTTGTAGCTGTATGTTCGTCACCGTGTTTGAATGGAGGAAATTGTACGGCTCCAAACTACTGCACGTGTCCAACGACTTTGTATACGGGTACCACCTGTCAGACACGTTCGTATTCATAGTAATTTTTTCATTACATAGCCAAATGCTTTTGGCGTTAGTGTATGACACGCGCATAGTGTCTACCGTTTATGTGCGTACCTGTATTATTTAGAATTTCACTGAATTGTTCCAGAAGTTCTACAAATTCCGTTAAATTTCAGGCCTGTAATATCCGCTACCCAGTCACTTCTCTAACGATGTGTTGAAAAGCTATAAGATTTCTTTTTCCACAACTAGCTTTTCGAGGTGTTAATTTGAAATTATTTTTCATTTTCTAGTACTATTTCGACTTCGCCCTCCAGAACTAAAGTCGTTTTCTGATACACTGCGGTACTTCCTCACAGATCTGCCCACTTTATACATGACTTAAAGCAGCGGAGGTTTGATTGTATGCAATATAGTCCCACTAAAAGTGCCCCGGTGACCCCTGGAAAAGTTATTCCGAGTACGAATTTTCCGAAAGAATGAAGTCTCTAGCGAAAAACAAAACTACCACCTCAAAAAACCAATTCTCGCCTCCCTGGAAAAAATAGCGAAAATTCCAGAGATGGCTCATTTTCACAAATTATCGCTGGTGCTAACTTTGTAAATTCTATAACTCGGTCAGATCAAGTCTGAAGAGGCGAACAATTTATTCATAACTCCAGTTTTGATTGTAAAATCGAATAAG